CTTTGCACGCACTCAGTATATTACTAACTACAAGGAAAAAATCGTGTGCCAATTTTTCTTGTATCCCTTCAGGATATGCTTTCTAGGTTGTCAATTATCTATATAGAGGTCTCTACAAATTATTTGGGTCGGCACGTGAATTATCTATGTCACCGATCAATTGTGAACTTCGAACAGTAAGTGATCTTACTAATTTTGGGAAAAATAATCGGAATCTAAACTGACTGGCTGTTGCTCGCAACTTAGTCTGTCGGAAATTAAAAAATAATAATAAAAAATATAGCCTATGTTACTCACAGATAAATTACCTTTTTAACGGTGAAAGATTTTTTAAATTGGCTTTTCGTTATTAGCAACGCAATTATGCTCACGAATTAATTAATACCAGCTGTTGCTCGCGACTTCGATCGTGTGAAATTAAAAAAATATAGCCTATGATACTGACAACGTAGTTTTTAAGGGTGTAAGAATTATTAAAATGGCCCAGTAATGTATGAGTTATCAATACATACAAAAATACAAATATTTCTTTATTATCTATACTATTATAATAAAGCGTAAACACACACTTCTTTGTTGCCTAAGATGTCAGCAATTACTGCATATTTTCGAATAAATCTTTTTTTAATAAAAAGTCCTACACTTACGTCACGCATTAGGCTATATATTTTCACGCCGTTATACTTAGGGGTAAATATTTTGGATAAAAACCCTAATGTAGGAAAGAGACCATAAGTTGTTGCCAACATCAAGGAAGCAAGGTTGCCATGGTTTGTCATGTCAAGTCATTTGGACATTTGCAATTGATAATACAAATGTGAACAATAAAATGAAATTTTTATAATTTCATGCGGGTGAGGTCGCATGGCAACAGCTAGTTTTAGTACAGACTAGAGTATGTGATCTTCTAGACTATCTTCTAAATCTATGATGAAAAATTTCATCGAAATACGTTCAGCCGTTTAGGCTACAAACTCTAAGAAACATCCATCTAAACTTTCGCATTTATAATATTAGTCAGATGTGTTTCAATTTCGTTCGATGGCATTCCAGTATTCTGTTTGCTAATGAAAAAAAAATATGAACTCAACAAATGTAACACAGAGATATGCAATTTGTTAGTTAATGAACAAAAGTTCGTACTGTTTGAACACAAAGAGAAAGCATAACTCAGCTCGAAACATTATCTAACATTAATGAAAATTCTTTACAAACTAGAATAAGACCTATTTAAAATGATATATAATTTTTGACCGACTTCCGAAAAGAAGGAGGTACTCAATTCGTCTGTATGTTATTTTTATGTGTGTTACGGCATAACTCCACCGCTAGTGGACCGATTTGGATAATTCATTTTTTATCCGAAAGGTAATGCTTGCAGGTGGATCTCTTTTTTTTAATATTTGGAGTCAAAGACGTACGTAGTTAAATAGTTTAGCTCAAAATCGCGCGACGAAATTTAGGGTCATTTTTGCTTTCTTTGCTTACGTAGCCTAAACTATAAGACCTACATAAAAATGATGTATGGAAGAATTGTATCTATTAAGGTTGTTAGAGTTTGTAGACTAAATAGCTAAACGCATGTCTATGAAATTTGGCATAGATGTAGAGGATAGCTGGAATAATACATAGGCTACCTTCTTTTGTTTTTAAATGGCACTCAGATAGAGTCGCAGGCGAAAACTAGTAGATTTATAAAAGTATATAGTACTCGCTATTTCCCGCGACTTTTTCCGCGTGAAATTAAAAAAATAATAATTTAAAACATAGGCTATGTTACTCACTGACAACGTAGCTTTTTAATGGTGAAAGAATTTTTGAAATCGACCCAGTAGTTTTTGAGTTATTTCATTATAATAAAACAATTTTTTTCTCTTTATAATATTAGTATAGATATATGCAGATAACAAGCCCTCTTCATAGTAAAAAAATAAGGGTAAAAACAAACTCAGTTGTGACAAATCTTGTATAAGCTTTAATGATTGTGATTTATTCCGTGTTTTGCTTGTTAAGGACGATTTATTTGACGTATAAACAGCGCATTTATAGAATACCAGCTGTAACTTACGACTTCGTCAGTTGCAATTAAAAATATAATAAAAAATATAGCCTATGTTAATCACTGATAACGTAGCTTTTTAATGGTGAATGATTTTTTAAAATTGTCCCAGTAGTTTTTGAGTTATTACAATACATAGAAAAATACACATCTTTCCTCCTTACAATATTACTAGCTGCTCCCATGCGACTTCATCCGTATAAAATTATAAAAAAAATCCATATTATTGTTCACATTTGTCAAATTATCAATTGCAAATGTCAAAATGACATGACATGATGTAAAACCATGGCAACCTTGCTTCCTTGATGTTGGCAACAACTTATGGTCTCTTTCCCACATTAGGGTTTTTATCCTAAATATTCACCCCTAAGTTTAACTTCAAAATATGTAGCCTTAAGCGTGAAGTAAGTGTAGGGGTTTTGATTAAAAAAAATATTCAAAAATATGTTGTAATTGCTGAAATATTAGGCAACAAAGAAGTGTGTGTTTACGCTTTATTATAATAATATAGACTAAGTATTTCCGTGCGGTTTTGTCCTCATTCTATTGCCTCTATTGCTTTTATTTTATCCAGACCTAGCTCCTGTAAAATGGGTCGAACAAAAAAATCGTTGTTCAGGCAAGCACAAGTTTTCCTTTAACCGCTCGTTGCCTGTCCCCAAGTTATTTATGACTTGTAATAAACCTTTTTCCCTTTAAATAAAAATGCTCACGATGTGAATATGTCGAATTTTTTTGTAGCTATAAATAATTCTTCTTAAGACTTTTGACACATACTGTATATTGAACCAGACTTTTAGTGATGTTACAAGGTAAGTAGCAAAAACTAAATGTATTATAATGTCGTGTGCTCCTGTTTAAATTTCACATTTATGATTTTACTAGCTTTTGTTTAAAATTAAAACTGAAAAAGCAAAAGTGAGTAGCCTATGTCTTCTTCCAGACTATCATCTACATATGCATCAAATTTCCACGAAATACGTTTAGTCGTTTAGGCTACAAACTCTAACATCTATCCATCCATCTAAACTTTCGCATTTACAGTATTAATTTAACATAAAATACTGAAAATAATTTACACTCTAAAATAACGGTTTTACATTTTTTTTAACATAAGGTGGCAATCAAGCAAGCGGCCACCTGAATCCACCTAAATGAAATGCGACCGCTGCCCATAAACATCCGCAATTGCAGTGTTGCCTACCCTTCATTGACGGAGGAGACGCACATAAAGAGGATATTTGAACTTCCTATGCTTCTTCACCGTCAAATCTACTTTTCCTTCCCATCCTTTCCTCTTAAGAAAAGAGTGGAAAGGGAAAGGGAAAGGGAAAGGGAAAGGAGGTTTAGGCTAAGCGCCATCTGCGCTGGGCCACCTCAAGCCCGGTGAATCTGTAAATGCCTATTCAAGGCAAACAGTGACAAATCAGTCACAAAAAAAGGAACTAAAATCAGGCCTCCAGCACCACACTCAGATGAAACGCGGAATTGCTTCCACTTCCTGCCTGTTTTTTGTGTGGTCGTGGTATTGCACTGAGCAAACCGGCCCTGCAGTGCGAAGATGTTAAAGCGGGCTCTACCACTGTAACACCCTGTAATATGCTCTTTTTGAGGTCTAATTTTCCAAGAAATCAAACAAAAAAAGTCTTCGCACTCTTCTTTTTAATTCTTCTTTACTTAATATATTCTTCTTTAGTGTTGATTTTAAGTAACTCCAGCAAGTAGTTTCCGCCGGCCTACAGACTTTGAACAGCTGAAGGCCGAAAGAAACCCCTGCCGGTGTCGCTCTCTTCTTCCTTGCCTGGTTTTTCGTATATTCTTCTTTACCAATTCTTCTTACAAAATTTCTTCTTTGCCTTATAACTAGAAGTATAATCGCCTTTAGAGTTCCGACAATACAGAATTCAAATTAAATATTCGTTTATTTATTTCTGGCTATTTAACTTAGTAAGAATAAAAAGTGACCAAGTTCACAATTGATCTGTGACATACAAATTATTCCGACAACTCAAGTCAAAAACATATCTCAGAATTACAAATAAACAATTCGTTTGAAAGCATTTCGATTCTCCAAGAAAACAAGATCTCTATTCTCACGGGCAACGTCGTCATCCGAAATAGACTAAGTTAGAAAGTTATTCACTTAGAATACTTAATTACTTAGCCTTCTTATATAAGACGAGCATACAGCTAACCTCGTCATTACCTTCCCTATTTTATCGTACTGGTTTTCTTCCTCCAAATAACTCTATCATCCGTCATGTCATCTCCCCCTTTGAATCAAATACATGCAAAAATCTAAAAATACAAATATTCCCTTTTTACCATATTAGTATAGATAGTATATATTGCTCGCGATTTTGCCCGAAATTAAAAAAATAATAAAAAGCCTGTGTATTTCACTCATAACGTTCCTTTTTAACGGTGAAAGTATTTTTGAAATCGGCCTAGATTTTAAGTCTATTTTATTTTATTGATTTATTATTTTATTTATTCTTAAGATAACTGACAGGACAAAATTATGACACATTTTTACACAATACAATAAGTAACATGCAGATAATTTTTCCTAAAATTCATAGAAAAATAACAACCACAACCGTAATAACAGACAGAAAATGTTCTTATCTAGTTTTTTATCGAACCCAAAACGTAAAATTTACGTGATAGCCTCTCGTAGATATTTTTTAAATGTTGGCCATTTTTTGAAGATGTCGATTATAGGGCTTTTATCTCTGCCTCTTTTGACGCACACACGAGTTATGAAAATCATTGTATGTGGCCATTAGTCGATTTACAGGTGAATAAAGACCCAAGCTTGTTCTGGACTTAGTGACAAAAGGGTGATATTTTTTGTGTCGCGTAGTCTGGTCGTACATACAAAAATACCTTTCATATTTATAATATCAGTATAGTTAGATGATTATTTTTCACTTACTTAAGTCCAGCGACAATCTCCATTGCGCCGTTAAAGTTGCCAATATTCCAGCAGGTGAGGGCAACTCGAAGTATACTAGCGAGAGTCGCCTTCCGTTCTTCAGGCATCGCTGACAGCACCAGTTCAGTCACCCACGCTGATACCTACGAACAGATAAGATTTCAGTGGTAGAGCCCGCTTTAAAATCTGGGCACGAATGGGTCGGCTCGCCTTACGCAATACACGACAGAAGACATGTGTGAAGTGAAAGCAATTCCGCGTTTCGTCTGAAGAGTGTGGTGTCAGAGGCTCAACTTTAGTCCCTTTTCCTTCCCAACCCTTTTTTAAATTCTTTCACCGTTAGTTTAATTTATCTGTGAGTGACATAGGTTATATTTTTATTATTTTGTAATATTACGGCGAAGTCGCAAGCAACTGCTAGTATAGTATAAGGTGATAAACGAGCAAGTTACCACCGGAATCGTGGCAAAACTGTTGTGCGATTGTCGATTGTTTCTCAGCCAATACAACTGTTTAGTTGCTCAACTAAAAATCGAGTAGTGTGCACACTTCCATATAACAAAAGAATCCAAGCGGGACTAAACAGTCGTACAATAGTTGCAAAGGTGTGCGCGGTTTAAAAATCAGAATTGTTGGCTTCAAATCTTACTAATATTATAAATGCGAAAGTTTAGATGGATGGATGTTAGAGTTTGTAGCCGAAACTGCTGAACGGATCTTGATGAAATTTTGCACCGATGTAGATGACACTTTGGAAGAACACATAGGGTACTTATTTTGTTGTTTTGTAATTCCACGCAGACGGAGTCGCGGGCGAAAACTAATGTATATAAAAAGCTCCGTCTGGTCACAAATAAACTCTCGGCCATGAACAAAATCCCGCCCACAAAGTTTGGATGGAACGTAATTTTATCAAGATGAGAGAAACGTAAGAGGCTTAAGATATAAGGCTTTCTGAATAGTAGGTAGTGTTTATTCACAAGATAAGCGGGTACTAATATAACGAGTAAATATTTATTTTTTTCTAACAAACTCAGAAACTACTACCGATGTTAACAAATATTTTACTACTATAAAGATACATTATTACTGAGTAATCTATACTATTATAATAAAGCGTAAACACACACTTCTTTGTTGCCTAAGATGTCAGCAATTACACCATATTTTTGAATGATTCTTTTTTTTTAATAAAAGCCGTTGCGGAGATGATCCGTAACAAACGCGGCTTGCTGACAGACAGATAAAAAATTGTAAATGCGATTTTCGTTATCAGCAACCCAAATACATTATCTTCCCGATATCTGTTTTTTTTTTGATATGACAAACAGACTTCAATTTTATATGTATACATCCGCTAGCGCTTATGAATGTAACCGCGGCTTTATTAGCTTTTCATCAATGTTTCACTTTGTAAAATTTCAGTGATTTTTTTTAAAGATTTATTCTGAAAAGTTATATCTATTTCAACAATAATTTTATGAAAATATGTTTTCTTATTGTATACACGACAGCACATATTTAGATTTATTTTAAAAAGCTATTAAACTTTTAAAATATGTAACCAAACAATGTAACACAAAGTTAGTTCCCAACTTATATTAAGTTGGAAATAGTTTTCATTGTATGGAGTTTGTATGGAGTTGGATGAAGTTTGATAACAGAGTTTGTTTGCTGGAATAATTTTATTAACCCTATTCAAGTTTATTAAGAACTTTTACTTGAGTATATATCTTACTAATGTTATAAATGCAAAAGTTTAGATGGATGGATGTTTGTTAGCGTTTGTAGCCTAAACGGCTGAAATTTGGCACAGATTTAGAGCATAGTCGGGAAGAACACATAGGCTACTTCTTATCCCGGGAATAGTTACGGTTCCCGTGGGATTCATTAATCTAGTTTTTTAATGTTTACTCGATCATTCTGCAACGGTTCAACATATCTTATTGAAATTTGGCACAGATATAAAACAAAGTCTGGAGTACACATGGGATAAGCTTCATCCCCGAGAAATGTCCGGTTCCCGGGGGTTACGTAGCTATTTGTAATTTATATAGTTCGTATGTTTTCTAATACTACGCGGACGAGGTTGCGGGCAACAGCTCGTAATCTATAAATCTAATTGAGGAAGTTTGAAAGTAGCGCCAGTGGTGGAGTAATTGAAAAGCAAAAGGTTAGCGTGGTATGGACATGTAATGCGAGACGATGGGGACATAACCTAAAAGTGTTAAGAATGAATGTGGATGGCTACAAAGATAGAAGACCGAAGAAAGTGGATGGATTGCGTGAAAGAGGATATGCTTAAGAAAGGAGTGGATTCAGATATGACGGCTGATAGAGATGTATGGAGCAGCACATTCTGTGCCGACTTTCGTAAGGGATAAGGGCAAGTGGATGATGAATACAACACATTTTAACTGAATAGTTCAACACAGTTAAGAGGGCACACCTTTGAATAATCTATCGCACAACTGTTGTATATAGGTTTTGTAGCAAATTTAAATTTAGTTGCATAACTAAAAATCGAGTAGTGTGTTCATATAAGCAAAGACTCGAAGCATGACTAAACAATCCTATAGTTCAGTCAAAGTTGTGCTGAATGTCGAGAATGAAATAAGAATTTGAATTATGCATGACCGGAGCTATTCAGGTCAATGTATTTTAAACTATCGATTTTAACATATGAAATTGGGATATATACAATATACTGCGTAGATATAGTTTTATGTATAGTCGCGGATATCTACCCTGTATCACAGAAAGACTGCCTTCATTATAGTTAAATCATCCAAATGGAATTATAAAATCTTACTAATATTATAAACTAGCTGTTCCCAACTTCATCCGTGTAAAATTATAAAAAAAAACATTTTATTGTTAACATTTGTCAAATTATCAATTACAAATGTCATAATGACATGATGTCAAACCATGGCAACCTTGCTGCCTTGATGTTGGCAACAACCTATGGTCTCTTTCCCACATTAGGGTTTTTATACAAAAAACTTAACCCTCAGTTTAACGGCGTGAAAATATATATCCTAAAGCGTGACGTAAGTGTAGGTCTTTTTATTAAAAAAGAATTATTCAAAAATATGCTGTAATTGCTGACATCTTAGGCAACAAAGAAGTGTGTGTTTACGCTTTATTATAATAGTATAGATGCGAAAGTTTAAATGGATGGATGTTTGTTACTGTTTGTAGCCTAAACTGCTTAACGGATCTCAATGAAATTTGGCATAAAGCATAGTCTAGAAGAAAACATAGGCTACTTACTTTTGTTATTCTTTATTCCACGCCGACGGAGTCGCGGGCGAAAGCTAGCAGTAAATAATATAGTCTGTGTTACTCACTGATAATGTAGTTTTTTTAAAGGTGAAAGAATTTTTGAAATCGGCCATACAGTTTTTGAGTTATTTCAATACATATAATAAAACAAATAATATTAGTATAGACTAGCTATTGCTCGCGATTTCACTCGTGTGCAGTTAAATAATATAGCCTATGTTACTCACAGATAAATTACCTTTCTTATGGTGAAAGAATTTTTAAAATCGGCCCAGTAGTTTTTACGTGAATCGAATACATACAAAAATCCAAAAATACAAATCTTTCCCCTTTAAAATATAAGTGTAGATGTAGATTAATTTTAGTCCCTTTACCTTTCCACTCTTTTCTTAACAGAAAAGGATGGGAAGGAAAAATGGATTTAACGGTGGAGGACAAATGTCTTCTTTATGTGCGTCTCTTCATCCGTCAGTTAATGGTAGGCAACGCATCTGCAATTGCGGATGTTTGTGCAGCGGTCGCTTTCCATTACGGTGGATTCAGGCCGCCTGCTCGTTTGCCACCTTATATTATATAAAAAAAAGATTCGAATTATGAAAAAGGTTAAAGCCTTGTTCCTTGCAACGAGACAAACTCCGTCTCACAAAAAAAACAACAAGTTAGCAGTTCATAATCCTCAGTGGGTTATTTCTTTCACTAAAACGGTTAGGGGTTGTATGAAAAGTATCCCTTTTGTTGTTAGAATTCCAATTAACGCTGAATAGATTTTTTTCTGACATAACAATACAGTTGGGATCGTCTATAGACAATCAATTACGTATGTTACCGAACGATTGTGGAATACGTCAATTGAAAATCCGACTAGACAAAACATGAAAAAAAAATTGAACAATTTACATTTTGGTTTTGGGGTATTTCATAAATTGTCGAGTTAAATTTAAAATTGTCAGCTACATGAATCAGTTGGCTTAACAAGAATGCAAACTACTACGCTGCCTAATTATATCTAGTTCTTTTCAGCAGTTTAGGCTACAAACTCTAACAAAAATCCATCCATCTAATCTTTCGCAGACAGTGGTAGTGCCCGCTTTAACATCTTAGCACGAATGGGTCGGCACGCCCCCAGTAATACCACGACCACACAGAAGACAGGCGTGAAATGGAAGCAATTCCGTGTTTCGTCTGGTGAGTGTGGTGCCGGAGGCCTAATTTAAGTCCCTTTCTCTTCACCGCCCTTTCTTTTAAGTAGAGGTTGGGAAGAGGAAGTGGATTTGACGGTGGAGGAGATGCAAAGGAAGGGGAAATATTCTCTTTACGTGCGTCTCCTCCTCCGTCGTATAAGGGTAGGCAACGCATCTGCAATTGCGGATGTCTATGGGCAGCGGTCGCTTCGCCATTTTGGCGGTTTCAGGTGGCCGCTTGCTCGTTTGTCACCTCGTGTTATAAAAAAAAAAATAGTCTATATCTATACATGTAATAAAATTGGAGTGTCTGTTTGTAATAACAAAACAAAAAAATTCGGGATAACGTCGCCGATAACGAAAATCGCATTTAAAAATTTTTGTTTGTCTGACTATCCAAGCCGCATTTATTCCGGGCAAACTCCGAAACGGCTTGGCCAATTTCGACCGAACTTTCACTGAAGGGTAGCTGACATAGACGGGCATATTATAGACTACTTTTATATCTTTATATTGCTTGGACAAATTCGAGGGTAACAGCTAGATAGTAGATCTTCATCATCCACTTGCCCTTACCCCTTACGGAGGGTCGGCATATGTGCTGCTCCATACATTTCTGTCAGCCATATTTGAATCCACTCCTTTCTTAAGCATATCCTCTTTCACACAATCCA